TAGGTATTTTTGTGGTATTTAAAATTAATTTAACACACAAGATATTAGATGGGTCAACTGTCATAGGCAGGTATGAAATTAACATAGTACTTACGCTTAAATGTTTTCTTATATTAGAGTTTGAATTTTAATCCAACCTTGTAACACTTAGTATCGACACTACTTAAGCACTTCACTTCCAGCTTCTTGTAAAAAAAATTATCCTCAATGACTCTTAATACTTTAAAATATTTTTGATAATTTGGCCAGAGTAAAATTGGTTCTTCTAAATCTGCAACCTGATCTCGACTTCGGTTGAAGAATCACAATCACTCATTGTATTACAATTTAAAACAATTTAAACAAGAGTATATGGTTGATGCAATACAATTATTAGCAATCTGTATGAATGATAACAGCGAACACGATACGAATAATACGAACTCAAGTAATAAATATTACAATAGTGTAAAACAGCGTAGGTGGCTATACATGCAATATTGTAATAGTGTATAACTGATTGTGTGCTAATGACCAATTGGTAATTGGTTATTCGTAGTCCATACGCCCAAAATAATATTATTTTCTAATAAAATTATGGAAATAAGATATCACCATGTTCCACATATTATTATGGTGCTATAGCCATATTCATTTATTTATAGCATGAACTAAAAATAATTCGTGATGTTATAAAAAAAACGGCTGTGGCGATATAGTGACAAGGCTGGCATTTGGACGCACACTTGGTCAAGACAGAAGACGGGACATGACATGTGAATAAATTATTATTATGTAGATTTCGTTGATAATGACATCTTGGCCAGGTGCAACGGCGGGTTCGTTTTAGTTCAAATCACGGTTATCTACAGATATATATATCTAGTAGATAACCGTGGTTCGCAGTCAGAGTTGTACATCTTTTCCTTAGCAATGCCACCTCCTGTGCCGCTTAAAGGTTTAAATTTAATGAATGTAGAATGTATGTGTATAATACATATATCTATAATATTAATAAAGATTATACCTAATAATTAATATGTACATATTATAAAATATAAAACAATACAAATGTACATAAAAATTTTAATTTTTAAAATATTGAAACCTGTCTACAACGGACACCTGCCTATAACGGACAATTATTTTGGTCCCGTGACTGTCCGTTATATATAGGTTTCACTGTATCAAACATTACAAAAAATAGTTATAAATTATTGTAGACGATTNTATTTTTTTTCATATATAATTATCATTTAAATTGAAAGAAAAATTTAATTTTTAAATGTATTACAACTCATACAAATTTGATTATGAGTATTAAGTGTTAAACCTACTACCTAATAGTTTTGTCCTGATCACTATACTTACTCAAAATATGTTCTTTTCGATAAAAATATTTTTAGTATTTTATAATTTAACTATTTTAAGTTATCTTAAATAAATGTTTAATTACCATTGTTGCTATTTAATTTATTGTGTGTGCACAACATCGATGGTGTTTTGGTAATGCATATAGTAAATCATGGTCTTCATCATTTAGAATGTTCTCGAGAATGTTCAAGTTGAATGAGTCGATTTCTTCTAAATCATTAACAACCGTATCGTTCACTAGCAATGTATCAGTCTATTGTCATGTAGTCATGTAAATATCAACTACTTTTGTTAATGCTGCAACTAAAAACTATTTAATAAAACAAAAAATAAAAATAAACAATACACAATACACATTCTTACTTTGACTTGTTAATTTTTTGTTGTTCAAAAAATCTTCTAAAACTGGTTGTTTTTATCTGATTGTTTTAAAGAACTACCAGCATACAAGGTTAGGGTATGCTTCAATGATCCATCATTGCATCTCTTTAAAGTGTTTTTGTTCACCGCATTACCAATGTGATCAATTTTCTTTAATATAGTTGAATGTTGTGCCTGAATAAAATGAAATAATATAACCTTTTACTTAACATTATAAGTTTTGACAAATAATTTACATTTTTTGATTAGTGGCGCAACTGGGATTTATTTTTGAGGAAGGAGGGGGTTATTTATTTTATTTTATTTCATAAACACAAGAATACTGGGTCCCTCTGAGATGACTAGTGTGGGGGCCTAGAAAAATACATAATAGAGAATAATGAGATCTATGATACATCTTAAGCACTTGAAATTTGACTTTTAAAAAGCTGTATGCCACTGTTTTTGATGTATTTTTGTAATATATTAGGTATTTGTGTGGTATTTAAAATAAATTTAACACACAAGATATTAGATGGGTCAAGTGTCAAAGGCAGGTATGAAATTAACATTGTACTTACGCTTAAATGTTTTTTTACATTAGAGTTTGAACGTGAAGCCACCTTGTAACACTTTGTATCGACAGTCGACACAACTTAGGCACTTCACTTTCAGCTTCTTGTAAAAAATTATCCTCAATGACTCATAATACTTTAAAATATTTTTGATAATTTAGCCGGGGTAAAATTGGTTCTTCTAAATCTGCAACCTGATCGACTTCGGTTGAAGAATTACAATCACTTATTGTATTACCATTAAACACAATTTAAACAATGAAAACAAGAGTATACGGTTGATGCAATACAATTATTAACAATCTGTCGAAAGTCAAGCAGACAACAGCAAACACGATACGAATAATACGAACCCAAATAATTTAATAATAAATATTACAATAGTTGAATAGTGTAAAACAGCGTAGGGGGCATAGGTACATGCAATATTGTAATAGCGTATAACTGATTGTGTGCTAATGACCAATTGGCAATTGGTTATTCGTAGTCCGTACGCACAAAAATAATATTATTTTCTAATACAATTATGAAAATAAGATAATACCATGTTCCACATATTATTATGGTAATATGGTGCTCTATTAATATGCAATATAGCCATTAGCCATTAGCCATATTCATTTATTTATAGCAGAATCAGTTATCAGTCAATATCAATGTTTATGTTTTATATTATATTTATAGTTTTTAATTAAGAATATGTCGAACTGCATATTATGTTGTCTCCGTACGCAGTACTGCAGTACACACTACACACGTACAACGTACCACCGTATGGGTACGACATAGCTAAAGTTCGTATAATATTTCGCTATAATACATGTTGCCATACACCGTCTGCGTAATTAATAAAATAATTTGTGATGCTATTAAAAAACGGCTGTCGCGACATAGTGACATGGCTGGCATTTGGACGCACACTTGGTCAAGACAGAAGACGGGACATGACATGTGAATATATTATTATTATGTAGATGTCGTTGATAATGACATCTTGGCCAGGTGCAACGGCGGGTTCGTTTTAGTTCAAATCCGCGATGACGGGTGTATCACCAGCTGAAGTCATATGCACTACAATGCCGGCGGTGAAATCACAACTTTCGAACTTGATTCTTATCGGGCCTGCATATTTCAGCCCATTAAAAACTATTGATGCATCCAGTTGGCTGAGGACAGTGACCGGATCTTGAATTCGGAATTTCGGACGAAATATTATGAATCCATTGCGATATTCTTTATGGGCATGTATGTTAATGTATTATAAGAGCATTATGGTTTAAACTGTAGAATAGAGAATACATTATTCCACAGTGTTCATTGTAACAATAACACTAAAATAATATAATTTAAAGTAGAAGGATTATATTTTGATCATCCAAATCGGGTTTATCTTTTGTGTGAACAACGACGATCTATGTGTTGATGCAAAAACATTCGAAATGTTTAATATTTGTTTCACTTTTGAATTGCGGTGACATTAATGTTTATATTAGCACTGTACTATCCATTGAGGATTCAGACACACTTTAAGACTGAATCATTCGACCCACCGCACCAACACGTTCTTTTGTTCTGCAATATATTTTATACTTGGTAGCTTGTGCTTAAGGTCAGTGGGCGATCCTACCAATCTATTACTTATAACCTTATAAACTTACAATGAAATAAAAAAAATAAAAGTAATGGTAACTAAAAAAAAGGATTTTTACCTAATATTTTTAAGGCATTTCAGTATTTGTTATTTACCTTGGTCAATAAAGAAATTATATTCTGAAATGTACAATTTGTTTGCAGGGAATTTTACGTTTTGTCAAGACCCATGGACGACACTATTGAGCGAAAATCATCATGTTGCCACAATAGTGAAAATGGTAATAAGTTATAAAAATCAATGACTGACGGATTAGGATCTGGTGATATGAGAAATTCTTACATTAATATTGACATTTTTTTTTTATATATAGATTAGGGCTTTACCACACTTGCCACCACAACGGATTCCAGAATTTCCCGAAGACTTCCACATTCTTGGGGGTTTTCTGGCAATCACAAGGCTGGCAACTCGTATGGGCATACTGAACCGAATTGTTCAGTTAGTGGACTATGTTCGACAATACTGGTTAACAACAGTACGTCCATCTAGGTTTACTGTTTATAGTGTGAACATCTGTACCAATAATTATGTAGAAAGTTTTCACAGCATGCTAAAGTCCATCATAGGCCTACATCCCCCAGTCTGATCCTTTTACGGTAATTTATTTTTATAAAAATATATAATTGACAATAACTAAAATGGTGATTGACTTTTAATAATATTTTGCAGATCGATTACGTTCCATTGAAAGTAGAGTACCGAGAAAAACCTTACAAACAATCAACGGCCAGAGAGTAAGGCTATAAACTTTATAAGTTTAAATTTTTGAAATGGTTTTTAATAAATCAAACTTTAATTAAAGGTACGAAGATCAATTGTGTCTAGCAGAGACACAAATAACTGCATTTTGGCTGATGCTCAACAAAGCGTATGCTATGACACAATGACATAGTTAAAAAGAGTTTCCTACTCAGTGAAAGGATACATAAATATGTAAATAGACCCTTTAGCTAATTGTTGGTACCACATAAATTAAATTGAGTTTGTAACTAAATGACCATAAAATTGAGTTAAAGAAATCCTTCCTGAAGATTTGGGACAGCAACAGATCCATTCCACATTCATGGAGCTAGAATATTGGGGGGGGGGGGCATGGTCTTCAACGATCAGCAAAAGCACAGTTCCACGAATGGTCTGACATCCAGAACGTCCAAATGTGCGCCAACAACCAGAAAGTGGCAACGTTCTATTCATTGAAGATCATAATCTTCTCAGTAACATACAACTATACATGAAAATTAACAATACATTGTATACTCTAGTTACTATAATCTAAATATCAATATTATGGGAAATTTAAATATCATTGAGGCGCCTATCCAAATTCAAGGTAAATATATAGAAATAGAATGTGGTACAAAATATATTGTGTTTTAACTAAATATAACTTTTTTGTTTGTATGATTAGCAAATAATGAAGACCAAAATGAGCCACTTGACCTACCACAAAACAAAAGTATGCTTAGAATATTTCTATAAGTAAAATGTAGAAGTGTTGTCCTTGGGCAGTTTCTCCACCAAAGTACTTATGTATTGTATTTTATTATTTTACGCTCATATGCTTATTGTAACTGCATTGTAAAATATTCTAAATAATAAATAATAAAAATATTCACTTACTCAATCATAATTTAATTTTTATTTAAGCTCACCAGCCATTTGATTTGGATAATCCTATGTTGGAAGACTAGTTTTTTATATTATTATTAGAATATTTTTTTGTTACACAGACTAATTTTGTTGTTTCTGTTTTAGAAGTGCGAAACAGCAAATTTTACTCTCAGGAAATTACTTTAGCTCCATTAGTTTGAGTGAAAATTTTTTATAAGGCATCTCATAGACTTTTTACTGTATTTAAAATTTAAAGTGAGTGATGAGTATTTATGAAGTACAAACAATTTACATTTTTAAAACACTCATAACTCACTTTAAAATTAAAGTATAATAAAAAAGCCTGAGATACCCTTTTTAGCTTTAAATTTATAAAAGAGGTTAATTCACTCTAATTTTTAAACTAACAAAGCTAAATCTGAACTGCCAAACTTAAAATTTGCTATATGTTTAGGCACATGTAAGAAAAATATCAACATAACGTCCTCCTGGACAAAATTGAAAAATAAACTCACTTAAATACCTTTTATTCTAAAAGTGAGCATATAGATAATGTTTTGTTTGCCTTCAAAGTTGGAGCCAAGTAAATACAGCCAATAAGCCAATATTTTGGTGCCTTGCGGTCACGGATGGTGTTGTGGTGAGTGTGCGATTCGCTTAGATAAATGTGGTGTCTGCAAAATTGAATTTCCTACAACACAACCCATCCAAATAATGCACGTTAAATTAGGAGATAGTAATTATGAGTTAATAGATTGTAGCATTTTTCTTTTGTAATTTTATATTAAAAATGTACAATTTTTTATTAAAAGGTAAATGGATGCAAAATACTTCCTTACTCGATCCAACTGGAAGTCAGTGCCTTGGATGTATGCACCATGTACAATATGTACCAGACCAGACACAATACATACTGTTGGACTGTGGCCATGAATGATATTGTGCGACATGTAACTCAACACCTCCGGCCACATGTGAGGTTTGTGGTGAACCGGTCAAAGGCACTACAAGAATATTTTTAAATTAAGTATATATTTCATCATTTTTTGATGATTATTTGTATAGGTAGTTTTCTTTATGTATTTTTTTTCTTATTATTATTTACCTTTATAATTTTATGACTTGTTTAATTCTTTTTAAGATTGAGTAAAATGACTAAAATAAATATTTCATTTTTATATTTCCTTATTAATAATTATTCAGAATAAATTCTAAAAAACTTTCACCAATAGCAGATTATATGTTTTAATTGTTAAAACAAATTTCAAAAGATAAGAATACCACAATATTAATCTATCTATCATAGACATTGGCTCAAACGACTATAAAATTAAATATGGCAGATTTGTGTTAGTTATTATTTCATCATATTTGCAATTTCTACCTTTAAAAATTGAAAATAGTAATCAGGCTTACTTATATAATATCTACTTATTCTTAATATTTTATCTACCAACTAACCTCATTAAATTGCAATACTTCATTAAGCACTTCATCTGCCAAAATATGACAAAAATAGTAATTTAAATACAAAAATTGAAGAAAAAAAACATGTTAGTAGACAGCTTTTGGTCAAATCACAATTAATATGTGCTGTAGACGCCTATCATCCGAATAGGTTGAATGTATTTGAAATAGCTACAAACCTTCAACCGCAGACAGGATGGTCTTGTATCAATGTGAGAATTAATGGGAAAATAATATTTAAGTTACACAAAATACATTTTCTCTATAGAAACTGGAGACAACAAATTGTGTTTATAACAAATAACTCAATGAATCTCAAATTAAGAGATGTGATTGGAATTAAAAAATATTTGCTAGATATTAAAAGTATTGTGGGTCCAGCAGCAATTATTTATTTTGAGTTATATTAGTAATATAAGATGGGAGAGGTTTAAATGACTATAAGGATTGTAAACAACAGTACAAATATAATTTTTACCTTGTCAGTTGTCACTTGTCAAATCATAGGAAAAAAATGACTTAATGACATTGAGATGGATANAATGTCATTATAATAATATATATATTTATCATTTATGAACAATTCTATATCGATTTTAGTTTTCGTCTTAAGCTTAAATTAAATCAATTAATTAAATATCTTTAACTAAATAATTTTTACTCCGGGAAACCGTCTGTTTATCGTCGACGAATATCGCAACGGTTCGTAGCGGTACCTACCAACATATATTATAGCCAAATATTATACGAACATTAGCTATGTCGTACCCGTTCGGCCGTATGTGTGTACTGTGTACGGAGCATTG